TATTGGAATGAGCAAATAGCTTCACTTTTAAATTTCTATTGCTAACGTTCAAAAGGGCCTTCCGATTTAAATAAATGATATTGACTTTTACTTTGAACTTTGTGGAAACAGTCCAAGCAGTGGGATGCAGAGAGACCTTTCAACTTGTAATTATATTCTGGAACTACCGGCTAGCACAAGAATGGTTACCATCAGGCCATACTATTCTCTAAGAAACAGTTTTCGTACGTTGTATAAGACAGAGAGATAGACTTCACCTAAAATTGAAACTAGTTCCTGAGGACAAAGTGCTTCTCATAACGTATAAAATGTATCGGAACTTCTGTAATAATCTCTTGGAAAAACTAAAAAATCAATACGAAAAAAATGAATTACAGAAGGCCGGGAACAATAGTAAACTTTTGTAGAAGTTTGTAAACTGTAATACATTTCGATCAAAAACATCGAACCCCAATAATATTGACATATTATTGATTGACTAAAACCCAAATGAAGCAATAAAGAAAACAAAAATTTTTTTTGTTATCATTGGTAAAAACTTGACTGAGGAATCACTTAACTTCCCAACGTAACTTGACCACAACATCCACACTAAACTCTTTTGTTCGATTAGGTACCAACGTTGGCGAGGTGGTCGGCGGGCTTAAGAATGTTTGTGCCACTGGGTGGGATGACATACCCAACACTACTTATTCTTAAAACATTTAAATACATACTTCTTCTTCTCTTCTCTGTCGTTTCGCTCTTGGCAGAGCGGTCGTGGTCACGTTGAGGCGGCCGTATTTGTGTTGGTGGCCAATACAGCTTTCGCCATGATCTCCCGCCACACAGTCACACAAGTTCAGTGCCCGGTTGATTAACGTCTTGGGAACGGAGGCAAGGTGTGAGGGATGGTAAATATGGTGATGCGAGTCGGCTCGTAAGTACCGGTCTGTGTGTGTCGGTTTATGTTAAACCGTGTGCGACAGCCGGCCGTCGGTTTCACGACTTACGAGGACGTCCAAAAATGGCAACATTCCATCTTTTTCCTTTCGTTCTCAGTGGTAAACTGTATGCTACTGTGCTCTGAGTTCAGATGTCTTACGAATTCCGCCACATGTTCCCGGTTGATGACTGCGAAAACTAGGGAAACTGGTTACCCTACCAAACGACAACAAAACGCTCTTTTTCACGACGCCGCAACGCAAACTGCCCATTTTAGCGTTGCGGCAACGCAACGCGGTTATGCGTTTCAGGCCTAAGGCTTGGCCCTCAAACCACTCCATGTATATGTAAGCAACCACTGCACTGGCGTAAACTGGCGCAACTGGCGACCTCGCCATGGGCTCACCGTTCACGGTTAACATTGACGCGGAATTCGACTACCTGAGACAGGTACTGGAAAATAATGGGTACAACTGGCGCCAATGTACTCGAATGGCGAGCTCGTCAAGAAAAGACGACCAGCAGTTGCGGAACGGACTCCAGCATTTTTACCCTATGTGAAAGGAGTAACCGACACCATCGGACATCTGTTACGCCGTAGATACAGCATCAGGACGATCTTCCGCCCACCTGGTCAGTTACGACATCTACTGCGCTCGCCTAAGGACAAAGATCCACTGGCAGTTCCCGGAGTATACATGATACCGTGTGACTGTTATGGCTTGAGTAACATTGGGGAAACTCGCCGCAACATCACAACCAGACTTAAGAAACACATACGCAGTGTGAAGAACCGTGACACTCATACATCGGCAGTAGCCGAGCATGCGTGTAGCACGGGCACAGCTCACTTCCTCCATTTCGACAAGGTCTCAGTATTGGCGAGGGAAAAATACTTCGTACCGCGGAAAGTACGTGAGGCCATCGAAATAAGTCGTGTCGTCCGAACTTTAACAGAGACGGTGGCTGGGCATTACCACCTGCCTGGAAGCCGAGTCTGAAATCTGCGTCAGACTAGTGTTGCGGGTCTGGAGTGTGACATAGTGAGCACGGTATGTAACACTGTTTTTGCGTCGACCCGGGATTCGAACTCAACACCAACGCAGCTCCCGGCGGGCAAGTCTGGCGTGCCAACAGTGTCACGCACGCCGACGTCGCCGATACCACGAATAGAGGAGTGCGCGTGAATCACGGCCCGCAGACTCGAGTAGCCAGTAGCAGCGCGACAGCCGCCGCGTCGCGGGTCGCGAAATGCTGCTCATGAATATGAGCCCCTAGCATGGCTTGAAGCTAGTCGAGTTCCTCGTCGAATTATTACGTGAGAAAGCCGAAAACATAATAAGTTTTATTATTTTCTGACTATATTAGAGATCGATATCAATGTGTAAAAATAGATCTGTACACCAGTTCATCACAACTGTTTAAAAATAGCTGTTTTCCACAAGGTAGTATGTTGGGGCCTGTCGCTCCAAAATAGTGTAATAATGACACCGCGTTATTGTTTTCACGTAAGTGTACACTTGAGGCGTATGGTTATGCACAAAATGGTTTTGAAATTGTGTCTAAGTGGCTCCAGAAAAATCTCCTAACATTAACAAAGACTGTTTTAGTTCAGACTAACTTTGAAAACAGACCAATACAAGTGAGGTAGACACAACCATGAAAGGATCTGCGCAGTTCACGTCGATGTTTCGAATTGAAAGTTACAGAATAGCCTAGCTAAGCTGGTGATGTTTACAGCATGGCGGACGAACGAGCGCCGCGCGTCCGACGAATGTTATTCAATAAGTGATAAGTGGAACGCATTTAAGTGGGTCTCGGGCTCTCGGGTGTCCATGGGTGGCGCCCATTGCTTACAAACAAATACAAATAAAAAACAGAAATGAATCTTATAAACACTTTATTAAGTTAATCAACAAAAACAATAACAATTAAATAGTTCAACTTATAACATTACCAAACCGAGGCTACTTTATCTTAGAACTAAAGTCTTGGATATCACTACACTAGTTGTAACACATTTAAAGTAACTGCACCGAAATAGGACGGAACTAGGTGCGTTGGTGTATGCAGTATGGTGCAAGGTGGACAATAATTCCTGCAGCACGACTACCGAGTTGGTACTGAAGTAGTCCCCGCCGCGTGGTCAATTCGACAGTTCAACTAAATGACCTTCATGTCGTGTAAGTAGCATATACCTAGTACATATTACTAGTATATTATCTACGTTTCCCACTCTAATATTACCGTCGTATATTTTGGGAACCTTCATTGTCTCATACATTTAGATTTACTTTTAATAATAATACACGATTGGAGGAATTTTCATCGGTCCGTTTGCTTGTTGAAGGACCTGAATTCTACAAGATGTTCAAAATAATTATAAACCCAATCGTCAATAAAGTCGGTACTTACCTACTTAAGACAGTATCCCGAATGTAACAAACTGAAGTCGGGGACTACTTATATATAATACGTCACGTCGGTAGGTATCTTGAATTTATGTAATGAGTAGGTACCATATTTTTGGTTAATAATTCCTAATTAATCAAATGCACAATAGCTCTGCAATGTTTAGGTACACATATTTTGGCTCTTCTGGGCTGATGAACCAACTTTCGGCGTGTTAGTGAAGGAAGCTAAGTAAGAACTGTATGTATGTGTTAAAGCTGCGGGGATCAACCATAGAAATATCAAATCTTTATACCTATGGGATCCACATACAAATGTAGGGGAAGAATGCAAATAACGGAAGAACTCCGGCCAACATCACCTGCGACACATCACACGTTGTACTTGTCGGTGTAAGTATATCTAGATATCATTAGCTTACTCCTGCCCAACCAGTCTATACAAGTACAGCCGAGGCGTATCATTTTGTATCCCATTATTTGATGTGCATGACGTACATATTCGGAAGTATAAGTATGTACACCTACCTTCAAACATTAGTTCAAGGAAATTAAAGATCAGACTGGTACATATGACGAGTACTTTGGCTACACTGTACACACACACTTTGGCTTGCATTTAATGACTCAATGACTTATGCATTTTAATGTTACACGATAGTGTCGATACAGTCGAACTGTACAGTTAAATCGTAAGGTGTAGCCTCAAAGCCCTCAAGCTGTTACCGTTTACCTACCTACACCGAGGCAATGACATTCATTAACTGAACACCGGAGTTTAGTAAATACACCATGCCATGTCCACGTCCGTACCTGATACCTACCTTTTTGCGGGGAAACAAGAATATTACATTGATTGATAACCTACTTACTTCTACTAGGAACAACTACCTACATTATTTTAAAAACATTACTAACTATAACTTACCTGCTTCATAAATCAAAGTCGCATGTTTAAGTACCCACAATTACAATATTACCTATATACAACGTCCGACATCTGACAACGACGGTAGCTGTAGCTTGCAGCATGTGGATGCTGTCCGGTCTGCAATAACACGTACATGATCTAAGCAAGCTAACGTAAAGACATTCCTAAGTAGACTGGCCGTGTCATCGCCCATTGTCAATTCATTTTAATAATATAGGTACATACATAATAGTATGCATACAAATTCGTCAGCTCGTCACACACGTAGCTATAATTATGCATATATATAGCAAGGCATATCACATTATGGTCAAGTCCTTACTTCCTTACTTTATTTTTTTATTTTTTTTTTATTTTATAAATCGGAAAGTGAGTTTGTTTGTTTGTTTGTTTGTTCCGCTTTCACGCCGTAACTACTAAACCGATTGCTTTGAAATTTTGCAGACGTAAAGTTAAAAGTCTGGATTAAATAATAGGGTACTTTTTATCCCGGAAAAATTTGATATTTCCGAGGGAAAACAAAAATATGATATAGATGGCGCTGCGTGAATTGGTATAGATGGCGCTGTATGTCATTTAAAACCAATCAACGAATTACTTACTTATTGGAAAAATCTAAATAGCGCGATATAACCGAATTCCACGCGAGCGGAAAGCTATTTGTTTGTTTGCCTGTCTTAAAAGGCAGAACGTAGGTACTAATTAACGTGATTTTTTAACTGATGGTAGTTGAAGGGATGGATAGCCACATAGGCTACTTTTTATCCTTTTGTGATGCGAGCGAAGCCGCGGGTAAAAGCTAGTATTTAAATGAGTAGGCACCCATTGGTACATTTTTGATTCACCACACTCGTGTGGTGAGTAAGATGTACTAAGTTGTAGTTGTAGTGGGGAACAAACAGTATAAACATGAAGCGATTGTTTGGTAGAACACACTTATATCAGTCTCAACTTCAGCACACTGTACAGAAAATACAAATAATGTAATAGTACAGCTGCAGTGTGTAGAATAGAGGTTGCCATGTCTGTGACGGGCTCAAGTAAACGGACAATCATTTCCTTACTAAGACGATGTGCGATGACTATTTCCCTACTAACTTGTATTCGGCAGCTGGGCACAGTTTTAAACAAATTTAAGTAAATGTAAATACAACAATGAACCCGAAACTATCCACTAACGGTAATCCCACGGTCCAATGTTAGACTGTAGATATTAGTTTCCGGCTTCACCAGAGCCCGAGCGACACGAGGCGAGAATCGACTGCGCCAACCGTGCAACGGCAACCGAATCAAATAATAAATTTATCTATGCCATTTCATCTTTTTACTTTATAGCAATAAACATATCACAATTACTTATCATTAAGTACCTACGTTACGTATCAATGGTAACTATTACAAGTAGTATAAATTAATACTGTACAATGTACATTAGTACGACCAAAATCTACGAAAATGAAATAATTGTGGTCCTGCACTAACTGGCCACTGACTGGTAGTTGCGAGCGCCAGTGCGCTATACATACTGCGGCACGAGTACTGTACTCGTGTCAAACATGCATATTATCATTATTACCGGAATGCTCTAAGGGTCTTTGGTTGCAAGTACAAGTAACCTAGCTTCTATATCAATGGTGGGCCTAGTGCAGGCAACATAGCACATAACTAAATCCTGTTTTCGGATCTATAACATAGTACCTGTAAGTCTATATTACAAAAATATATTAGCGCAGTCTGACTGGCATATTTGGAAATATTATATACAACTTTCGTACAAATCACAGAGAGTGAAAAAATAGATGTAGAGACGTAGGAAGAAATAATTTGAAGCCTGCTACATCGTCTCAGGCATAGTGTCAGTGCGGAGCCGGTCTCTAGCCCGGCAGCGGCGCCTCTTCGTAGAAATCGGGTTCGTCGTCCTTGTCGATGTCTTTTTGGGCGCCATCCAACTACAATGTAAAAGAATACAAATTGTCAAAGCACTCGGTAGCGGCGATCATACAAGAAATATGTTATCGATCTTACTGACCGCTCTGAGTTGCAACGGCGTGAACACGTAGGCGAGGGACATTCGCAGAGGTACCATCATCACCAAGAAGAACGGCATGGCCAGTGAGAACCGCGACGACTTGACAGCGTACAGCACGGCCAAGCCCGCGGCTTGGATCAGTGTGTACAAGTGCATCTTCAGCGTCGGGACCTGCAATACACGCGGCGTTAGTAACCGCCCGACCACCACTGCTGGAACCTTACTTGTGATTTATCGTCTATTAAAAGTTTAATAATTTACCCGTCTGACGTAAGGAACTTGCGGGTGATGTTTGACAGGCTTTAGTAAGAGAATGCAGCGGTCCCAGAACTGGATTCCACCGAGCGCTGAAATGCCCATGTACAGAAAGACTCCGAACAGTACGGCCATGGGCACGAGTCGCAGCCAACGCGCTGCCAGCACCGAGATGCCCACCAGCAGCGCCACCAGCAGCCCCGTCAGCCGCTGCTCTGTAAAACGAGCGCCGCCCTCAGTTGTTGCTTGCATTCTTCGGCTGGAAGATACTCAAAGAGCCTTATAAGTTTATGTAACCTTCTTCCAAATTACGTAGATCATTGAATATCATCTTAACTTGATTACGTTACTTAAGTTGATCGCCAACTGACATATCTCAGTGGACAGTCTATCTTTTTTGAAAGATCACTGAACAAAACATATAGCTGGTTCTTCTACTTACTTATTTTATTTTGTCTGGCCTCTATAAAATACTGTGGCCTTTGAGTTTGATTCGGTATGTTTTTCAGAGTAGATAGGAAATAGTGGCCTGATCTAGCTTAATTTTAAAATTATCTGCTTTTTTAAAACTTATCACTTAATTAATAATGCTATTTCATTACACCTACCTATGCAGATATTTCAAAATAGAAATCGAATTATCGAATTGAAGTGCTTCTTGTTGGATGCCAATTTATCTGAGTTCAACCATAGGGTTTCAATTTCAATGCATCTATCCCATGTACACGAGACGCAGTGCCAGTTCTTGCGTAATTATAATAATGTACTTCCACATTACTACTACATTACACTTGAAAGCTGTATCGGCCACCAACACAAATACGGCCGCCTCAACGTGACCACGACCGCTCTGCCAAGAGCGAAACGACAGAGAAGAAACTTCCACAGTAACATCATCTGTTCGTTTCCGTCCACTACCTACTGAACTTAAGCCTCTCCAATGTTCCACTCATACACCGATACAAATGATACGGTGGTGCATTACCTTTGACCTCGACGATGTGCGGCTTGTCACCGGGAGCATGCGTGGTGGACATAATGGTGAGCGCGGACACGTGGCTGACGGACCGCACGGTGGCCACGCACTGCCACGGCGCGCCGAACAGTCCGCACATGGCGTTCACCGCCGACATGATCACGATATCCATGTGGAAACCACTGCCCTTTTTCAATTTCCGCTCCGGTTTATCAATGATCAGCCTGCATCAGACCCGAAAACAAAATCATATTAATTTACTCACATAGATGTATAAATATACATATTACAGCTTCTTTCGTCATACACTGAACTTTTTACTCAAAATGTACATTTTAGAGTAGCACGAAGTCTGGAAATGTGCCCGGAATACGGCAACAGGCTTGCCCATTATTACATGGGACTCATAGCATAAATAGTAAAAAGTGGGTGTTACATTGGACAGTGGCATTAAGTGCCGTAAGTTGCATATTTTACATGTAACTGCCGGGAATATAAAGAAGGTATAGCAGTGACACACGCCCCGTGGTAACGGAATGAAGAGTGGGAGGATAAGTCAGTTGATCCTATATTTTTATTACTATACTATAACTTGGGCCTCATATTATGAATAAAATGCAGAGAAAGTGATTAATTTATTACTTTAAAATTTGGTTATTATGTAGTCATTATATATAATAGATAATTATTCATTCTGACTGTACCAAGTAACAGATACATTTACTAAAATCGTTGTGCAAGTTTTGCATCACGACATAACCATTAAAGTACCCACACAAACATTGTCAGACGCCGGCGCTGATACAGTTACTTGAACCCGCACTACAGCTGACTATTACTTACCAGGACGTCAATATTTTAGAATAAGGAGTAAAAGCAAACGGATCCCGAGTAATAAACTATGTGTGCTGCCCATGGACACCCGTCCTGTAACCCCACACAAAAGTTGTAGCGCCCCGGTGGCTCTTGTAGAATAAGCTCGCGAGTGACTGTAGACTGGTGGCGCGAGGTACTCACTCGGCTATGTGGGTCTCCATGAAGACGATTATGTAGACCATGAGCGCGGGAAGGCCCATCGCGAAGGCGGCCCAGGCGGGAATGGTGCCGATCCCATTGTTGAGCGGCACGAGCCAGTAGCGCGGGGCCGTGGGGCTGAGTCCCTCGGGCACGCGCAGTGTCTCCGTCCATACCGGCACGGCGCACGACACGCCCACCATCAGCACGATCGCAATGGGCACGCCGAAGTCACCGAGAGCGCGGCGAGCCTGTGTATAGCGATTATTTGCACAGGTGTATTATTTCTAGGTCACTCTGAAGAAAGTTAAAAAGTAATTACACTCATTATGCGCTCTGGAATAAACAGTACCTTGTTTACATCGTAACATGACGCCTTTCTACCTTAAAAGACTACACAGAGATGAATTTATTATAATCCAAAGAATCTCTTTTTTATTATCTTTCTTCCTAGATAATCTGCGTTGCAGGCTCGCCAACTTCTCGGACGTGGAATGCATGTTCTGCATTTTTTTATGAAATTGGAGGCAAACGAACCGACAGATTACCTGATGGAGTGATGGTAACCGAACCGATCAGTGCCACCATGGACCCGCAACACCAGAGCAGTCACTGGTGCGTTGTCGGCGTTTTAAAAAGGAATACGCTCTTTTTTTGAAGGTGTGAAGGTCGTATCGGATCGGAAATACCGCCGATGACACAATTCTTTCCACAGCTGTGCAACGTAGGAAGTTTCGAGAAAAGCGCACAGTTATCGCCTGCAAGTTAATATATCTGTGCCTGCAAGCCATCTGTATGATGGGAAGGAAGTGCTCCCGTGTGGGTCGATGGGGAAAAGCCGCGGCAGGTATCAGACCAAACTAGTCCTCAAAGTGCTCTCCGTGGTATAAGCGATAGAAGATGTACAAAGGCGCTTCATGTGTACAATGCCAGTTGCCAGTGTCTATGTATTTACAGCATCAATGAAGGCAGTCCTATTGGATTGGATGGAACTCACGTCACTGTCTGTTATTTGCGCCTAAAACAATGAACCGATTTGAATAATATTTGTACAGGCATAGTATGAGACTCAAGATGGGACGTAATTATAGTAAAAATGGATATTAATTCAGTATTTATCCCAAAAACACGCTTATCTCTGTGTAGGTACCTAATAATGTCCTTCATTTCAAATCATTTCTAATTCCGAGCTTAGTCCGGCCCTGTTTAATCTACAAATACGCATGTTTTTTGGCTTCACAAATTTTAGGTAATATTGGGTCTGTCTACTTATGTATTGAATGTCTGTGTTTTATTATAGTTGACTTACTTATTTTTGTTTACGTTTGTTTATGGATTTGTATACGCGCACCTGCTATGCTTAGATACTAACTTAATTTAATTTAGACATTAATTTTTATTTTTATTTGCAATGTTATTGGACTTTAAATATTTCAGCACATTTTTAACCTGCAATACGTACGAGGTACAAAGTATAAAACATGAAACCGGAAATATCAGGTTTTATATTTTAGACTTGTTTCAAGTAATTTTAGCAACCCGCCCCGGCTTCGCACGGGTGCAATACTTATGTACAAATACCTACTACAAAATGTCCTTATCACACACCACTTTCAAAGCTATTTTGTCATTAGACAATAGAAACATGTTTTATATTGATATTGTCCTCGTCAGAGAGCTACGATAAAACGCCGCAACAAATACGTCCCTGCATTTTAAATTTGTAATATCTTCGGAAATATTCACTTTTTATTCCATTGATAGTAATGGCTAAAAAATGGTAATGGTGGGTTATTCCTAAGAGATAGACAAACCATCGCAAACTTTTGTTGTTGAACTTTTTAAGGTGGACAATACTGTAGTACATTATTTTGGTTTATCTCGTAGGGTACAACCAGCTTTTGCTATATAAACGCAAAAAACGTGCTGGTTTACGACATCTCTTTAGAAACCTCTAAATTTATCAGTGTTTCTCTACTATATTATGCATGTATTATACATATAAACCATCCTTAAGAATCACTTTATCTATTAAAGAAAACCGCATCAAAATCCGTTGCGTAGTTTTAAAGATCTAAGCATACATAGGGACAGACAGACGGAGTACAGCGACTTTGTTTTATACTATGTAGTGATTATTTATTTGGAAGTGAATAAGATAATTTTGAAATTAGTGGGACGGTGGAGCGACTGGAGCGAAGGTGGTCCGAGCTCGAACTGTTACCAACAAGGCTAAGCGTAGCAAGTGGGTTTGATCGCTCATCGGCTCATGTAATCAACAAGGAGATACTCACGCTGCGGCCGAGGAATTTGCCGTTGCGGAAAATGCGGAGGTAGTAGGCAATGATGAAGGTGGAGAGCGTCAGCATCGTGCACCACAGCGCCGTGTTGGGCTGCGGCGGCATGCGCGCGCCCGCCGCCGGCGCCAGCGTCGCGTTACCTGCACCCACTACCACTTACAGAGTGCTTTCTATACTTAGTCTATGGATTTTGCATGGTATCTAACAGCTTTATATTGTTACACTCGTTATAGGCCAAGACGGGATGTAAATGGGTCACCTGGCAGCGTGGAGTTGGTGACGACAGTCACGTTGGCGGCGGCTGCGGCATAGTCGATGCCCAACGGATGGGCACGGAATACGTTGATGAGGCTGGTCACCGGCTCTCCAATGAAGATTAGTGAGATCAGGAAAGCGAAGATATCCTCAGTGAACCTGTGTAAACACTCCAGCCGTTCAGTACGTGCTGTCACTACGTCTTTACAGATAAACCGTTATTAAATACAGAAGAAATTACTCATAAACAAAATGGAAGGGTCATCTGGACAATATAAGTATCACGAGAACATAACTACGGGCCTCTGATTTGGGAATAAAGACGCATGATGTTTTGAACATGTGTCGAGTGTGGTTGGAGTGGTTTGTTCCGGTGCCGCATCTCTGCTGCATGAACGTTTGTCTGCGGGCGAAAGGGCGGTACTGCATCCTGCACATTCATTTCTTCAGCGAAATAAAAACTAAATATTTTCTCAGTCGTTAGTGAAGCATGGATTTCCGTAGAGTAACGCCTGATTGTATTCTACATTTAAATATATACATATAAGGGCATAGTGAAACCTGGTGATCTTCTTGACGGCCACACTGCCTTCCGCGGAGGCAACGGCGAGTGCGATGACAATCATCCAGATGCCGCAGTACATGCGCGCCGTCAGGAAGTCGAAGTTGTTCGAGTGACAAAAGTTGGCGAGTGACTCGTCCAGCAGTAGTAGCGGCCCCGTGGCACCTGTAATCATCATGGGCTGCCCCGCCACCAGCGCGAACAGCACGCCGCCAGCGCACGTGAACACCTGCAACACCGCCGCGGCGTCTTAGTGCCGACACTCTTACAACAATGTATGTAGTAATACCACTACAGCCAGGTGGAGCCAGCCGGTCTTACCAAAGTTTCAGAGATGCCGATGCTGCCGTACGTTTTCTCGGCCAGCAGACCGCCGAACGTGATCGCGGAGGAGAGCGCCGCGAAGTACATGAAGATGGTGGCTGCCACACACTGACCATTCAGTGCGTCACGAAAATCCGATAAATAGTAGGGATAGCGTCGCTTCATGTCACGTAACACACCTGCAACGAAACCTTTTTAAGCCTCGACGTGCCTGGTAGGGTCTATTAGACCTACCGTAGCTTTTACAACGATTTTTGGACGTGACCGCTCTCATCAGCTGACCGTTATGACCTAAGTGACATCCTCCGCTCGGTATCTCGGTCCTGGATGCGCTCCAGTAGTGATAGGACGTGAGTAGAGTGCTTGCGCGTCCCACAGACCGACCAGACATAGGGCGCCGCGCCGGTGCGTGGCATTATTATGTAGGTATTAATTTATTATTTTTTGTGATTTTGTATCTTGTTATAAATGACATTATAAAATTGTATCTGGAAACTCGGTTTTTATAATATAGGTACGCTACATTTTGATTGTATTGTTATTTAATTGACTTCGTATTGATGTGAGTGTTGAAATTTATCTAACGAGAAGATGAGATGATGAAAATGAAGAGAAAGATGGGTTTTACCTAAGGAGATTATAATTAGATTAAGAATACAAGTTATGCTATAGTATTTTTAATGGTTCAAAATGGAGTCACCGAGGAACAGGGATATCTGCTATTGGAAGTAGACAAAGTTCATGAAGATGCTACTGTATTCAACTCCGGTGATCAAGAGTAGGTATTATATTATCAGACAAAAACAATTATCGCCCCATATCACTGGCAACCGTAATCGCGAAGGTGCTTGATAGCCTGCTTAATAATATTCTTGTGAGACACATAAAGTTGCATGATGCCCAGTTCGGTTTTAGAGCTGGCCTTTCTACTGAGAGTGCCATTGTGTGTCTTAAGCAGGCTGTCAGGTACTACACGGACAGGGGGACGCCGGTATACGCGTGCTTCCTGGATTTGTCAAAAGCTTTTGACTGTGTTAGATATGACAAATTGTGGGGCAAACTGGCGAGTGCGGGTGTGCCGGTGGAAGTTACAGCGTTGCTGAAGGGCTGGTATGGTTGTCAGAAAAATCAGGTGAGGTGGGGAGAAGTCTTGTCGGAAGCTTATGGCATGGAGTGTGGTGTGAGACAGGGAGGACTCACCTCTCCTCTGCTGTTTAACCTGTACATAAACGACTTGATCGGCGAACTCAGTGATACACATACAGGGTGTCATATTGATGACGTATGTGTCAGTAATTTAAGTTACGCGGACGATATGGTGTTGCTGGGGCCGTCGGTGGGAGCGATTAGGAAGTTGGTGGCTATCTGCGAGACATATGCAGTGGAGCATGGACTGAAATATAATACAAAAAAGAGCGAAATTATGATATTTAAAAGTAAAAAAAACGCTCCATTTCATGTTCCGCCAATTATGTTGAACGGGGTGGCTCTAGGGATGGTGGCTAGCTTCAGGTACCTAGGACATATTCTCACTGAAGATTTGACGGATGATGCTGATTTGGAAAGAGAACGAAGGGCATTGGCGGTGCGGGGTAATATGATCGTTCGGAGATTTGCGCGTTGCTCGGTGGAAGTAAAAATACTTCTGTTTAAGGCATACTGCCAATCTTTTTACGCAAGTAGCTTATGGGTGAGTCATACTCGGCGGGCCGCGGATGTCATTAGAGTTCAGTACAACAATGTGTTCAGGATGCTGTTGCGGCTGCCTCGGTACTGCAGTGCTTCTGCTATGTTTGCGGAGGCGCGCACTGATGGCTTTCATGCAATTATGCGGAAGAAAGTCGCTTCTATTTTCATGCGTGTGAGGGGCAGTAGCAACGGCATCCTGAAGATGATTGCTTCACGTGCGGATTGCCCAATACAGCGGAGATGGATGGATATCGTGTTGGGGCTGTAGACGTCGATAATCTCTCGATCTCTGTACGGTCCAATCACGCGTGGCGGGTATCGTGTCTGATTCTCCAATGGTTTTGATTATAATTATTGTTAATTTTGACATTGTTGAGTTTTATGTTTTATTAATAGTGTGACTTTTATATTTTATTGTATTCCTTAATTTAAATTTTATTGCTTTGTTATTAGTTATTTTCTTCATTAATTATTATTATTCTGGCTGTATGGACTGTGTCTGACATTAAA